CAAATAAACATGAAATAATGAAAATATATCAGTAATAGCATTAGTTGTAGTGGTAATAGTAGTGGTCAATGCATATGCCTCTTCTGGAAAACTAATCAAAACCAACCTAGTTTTTATCCGTCTACATAGTCAAATATGTTTTTTTCTTAGAAAGGAAACCCAATTAATCATTACGAAAGACTGATTAAATTACACGACAGAACACTACATCATTTATCGTTTCAACTAGATGAATTTCATGCAAAGGGTATATATATATATATATATTGCTATCATTTGTTTTTTTTCTCCCCCTCAACATGTTTGTTGTTTTTGTTGTCAAATATCAACTACCATCAATACTACTAATATACTATTATTGTAATTCACTGTTAAAAATCATTGTCTACTTATCATCAGTTCGGTGCAATATTTAATTATATTATAATGATTGAATAAATTTCAGTGCATATACAATTCGCATATGATATGTATGGTTTCCCTTTATCTAGGGCTAATAGATGTAACCAGAATACTTATTTATTTTATCGATAAATGAAATGCCTCTCTTTACATTTCTTTTTCTTGAAGGAAAATTCAAATGACAAACTTAAAATGGTAATGGTCACTGAAAAGTAGTTAAGGAACAAGAAAGCTGAAAAACCAATGATTAATATGTACAATATAGCCCTTTGAACTATATAACTTGACAAGACACAATTCATCATTTATATATAATGTGTATATAACAAGAATTTTTGTAAAAAGGATTACTTTTCATTAGCAGCTTATCTAAGAATAGATAAATGGAATTCTGTAAATTAAATTAATATGTTAGTAAAATGAATTTATGAAACAGGCTAGTATTTAAACAAAGCACTACTTTTTAAGAAGTTTTTCTACCACTGAATATACCTGAATATATGTAGTGATGGTTAATTTTAATCAAATATAGGAAAACGGTAAATTTATTTGAGTTATTTAGTGCCGTGTTAGTAGTTAAAACATTCACTTTTAAATAAGTAGATCATATGATTGAATCCTGCTCTATGTACTTCGATAGTTGGTATTCCTTTAGTATAACTATGCATTGGAAATAAGTTATAGCAGGTGAATAAAAATAAGAATAGCTCTTTAACAAACCCTAATATTAACAATAGTAAAGTATTTGAAAGTATGATTATTTAATTTAAATCAGATTAGTATGGAAATAAAAATTTTAGACTCTAGGATTGAATTTTCGAAAAATATTAACATAAAATAATTGAATGTTGAAGTTACAGTTTGCAAAAATAAAAACAACTTCGAGAATTGTTTAAATTTACTGACCTATATCGACTTTCCTTTCAATAGTTCCGTACTGAACATAATATGTATTAGAATAGTCAAGATTAATGTATAAATCACAAGGGGTCTATTTAAAAATAAGTATTACTACATATAAAGGTGTTATAAACATGGGAAATTCCGCTCACAGATCTAAATACTGGTAGTTCTTCAATGAGATTTAAATGAACAAAACTTTTTTTAATTGTGATACATCAGAGCGTTTAACCAAGGTGAACGAGTAATAAATCTAATTCTATAGCTAAAGATTCATGAAACTAAAACTACATTGATGATAAAGTGATTTACTATTTCATAGAGTAGTGATCCCGTAGTTTAAACATTCAAACGGAAATTACTGTATAAGCAGATAAGTTTAAATATTAAACCTGCTATGTAAATTTAATGTACAGACAGATACACAATTTCATAATTGACTATTATCAATCCTTTTAAAGCTAACACATGATAATCAAAGGTCTAGAAATGTATTCGACATCATTTTAAATTAAACAATTGTCAAGTGTTCATATTCGCAAAGAATACTTCAAATGTCTATCATATAACCGCTAGTAACTATTTATGGACTAATTTTGTACATATATTCTTATTGTACAACTGTTAAGAAACTAAACTACATATACTTATATTCCTCTTATTATAAGCTTTAATTTGACCTATTGATTACTGTTACATGATTTACTATTCTCAAGTTATTCTCAATCTATTAGTCAGTTTCTCATGATCACAGCCACTTTTCGGCTTGATCTTGTACAAATGTTAGTTTCTACTTTATGGTATGATGTAGTCTGGTTTGCTTGTATATAAACCACGCATGTTTGAAATATATAATTCGATATAAAGGAGACTGATATTTGTGTTCTGGGCTGGATTGGCTGGGTTAGGCGAAAAGATGCTATTTCAAGGACCAATAAGAACTCTAGGCAGCTCTCACTAGTTTACACGTCATTGGTCCGGTCAATAAGACGGAGACTCTAATTGGCGATCGTATCGCGTGGTATATTAACAGAACACAAAGGCCACAAGTTATAACAAAAAGAAATGAGTTTTATAATAAAACAACATGTGTATGAGCAATAATACAACTTCATCACACGGTTATTAGTAAATAAAGATCAATAACATTTTATGCGTTTAAAGAACATTAGAAGCCGTATAGAAGGAAAATGAATTTTTTCATAGTGCATTTACAAAATCCACTAACAACAATATAATCTATTATAACAACCTGTTCATGATTACTAAATTATCTGAATAATATGAAAAATAAACTGAGTAAAAAGGAATAAATTACAATCATTAATAATTAAGTTTTAATTTAATAATCAATAAAGATATAATATTATAAATTAACATTGGTTAACCATTTTCTTGATACATTTAATAAACTGATAGGATTATATCTATCATGAATGAGTTATTGATGCATAAATCAAATGAGAAAAGAAGATAGTATGCACGTATAACAACATAACCATTATCTGACATGTAATGTAAAGATTAATTACATCAAGATAGGAAAGATTAGAAAGAAACGAGCACATGTTAGTGTGGAGGACAGTGAGGCAGAAAAAAGAACAATGAAGGGCGCATAAATGTACATGCGAGCACATTGCAAACTTTAAGAATACTAAATCAAACAAGATTCATGTTTAGTGTTTACACAATTTATTTTGAATTTATTTAATATGGAAAAACACTGAAAATTGGATTTGTTTCTCTTAGAGGGATAGATAACTTGTATAGCTTGTTATTATAAGTGGATGAAGTTCACTTGACTTCATTAAACTCTAATATCACAAGTTATAATAGTCATTACATGAGAGTACTATAGGCAACACATATCAATTCGTAAGACATATCCAATAAATGATTGAGGATTTTACAAGTCTATCAATTATATAATTAATTTAACTAGTTAGAACAGCATATTATATGATAATAAATATACTTTTTAAGTAATAGCATACACGAAATTTCATTTAACAAAGGATGTGCTTAGTTGCTAAATATGATTAGTAGTTTTGAATGATATTACGCTATTTGGATCAGTGTAGGTGAATGAAATTAGAATCTGTAATTTAGTGGAATTTAGCTGTAAAGCTCTAGATGAAATTTCTTACAAAATAATGTTCGAGAAATTATGTCTAGCTAAATGCTTAAAGTAGTTTGCTCGCAACCAATGAGTCAATAGATTTGAACCTTTCCATTTGAGCATTATATCACCATTCACCTTCAAATTAAACATAAAACATGGCAGAGAGAATTAGTTTTCCGGTGACTAGTGTTGTTGTTCAATAACAAAATGATTAGGTTTTAACAGAAAAATACATTTACTGCAACAATGTATATATCAGTAGCAATGTGTAAGTGTACATAAAAGTATTTGTGTGCGTATATGGATAGGTAAGCAAACCGTGTCCACCTACTTATATACGAACAAATCAAGTACATATTTATGAAAAATGTGAATAGAAATAACTTAGTATTAAAATAAGAAAAAATATTCTGAGTATATATTATATTATGTGTATGTATATATTCCAAAGGTCAAGAGATTGATTAATTTATGATATATATCTATCATATTCCTTTCATTCATTCAAGTAAGCAAATGACTAAGAAGTAGAGAGAAAATCAAAACAATCGAAGTTTCCAGTTAAGATTCACTTGAAGATAGTTATTTTTAAACGGCATTTTCACTCCACTATATATATACATATATATATGAAACAGAAACTTAAGTGTGGGATGGGGAAGTAAAAGATTGAAAAAGCAACAGGAGCAAGAAAATACTAAAACTACACATATGTATATTTTAAACCAACATATTCATGAGTTGTACAGTTACGCTGGTCATGTTTAACACAAAACTAAATCAATAAACTATTCATGATGTAAAGGAAATCTATAAAGCGTGGAAATTTTAGAAAGAAATTAACAACAGTTATTTGTAAACTTGTTAGGAGTGCTTACATTCATTAGTTATAATTTACAAATAAGTAAGGTTTACATTAAATAGGATATATAAATAAATATAACTTGTATCGATGATACAAGGTCCATTTGTAAGGTCATATATACCTTTGTTCTTTCGAAACAGTGTAGAAAACACAGTGAGATGAAAAGGAAATTTTGAATAGGAATAACGGAAACACAATAGTTTGAATGGAAAGTTCAAGAACTACGAACCAAAATTAATTTTGAAGCACATTCTAGAACCATAATAAGGATTTAAAAGTAAAATATTTGGACTTACATTTATATGAAATATACAATGAACTTAACAATATTCTATGTACAAATTTTGCATTTCAGGTGTACACCAAATAAAGATTTAAACTGTAGAATAGACAACTTAGAAACACCTGAGAATTTAATTTCGTGCAATGATAACTAAACTACTCGAATTATATGTATAGTTTAAAAGTTTATTCTTATTTTCAATTCTGTATGATAATGCATCAATGAGGAAAAAGGTTAACTATACAAAGTGACCAATTAGATAGATTAAAAAAACAGAGATTCTTTTAAAATGAACTATTAAGTAATGACAGTATATTTTAAATTTATCAAAACGTACAGCTTCAACTAGTTCAATTAACAAATAAATGGATTTTAAAAAATTCACAAAATCAATATTTATTTAAATTGTTAACAACAGAATGACTTACCAGTTGTTTCATTTAAACCGAATTCCGGTTGTTTAGTAAGCAAACGATAATGTATCACAGCATTATCACCTTCATCTTGGCTAATCGCCTTGAGGCGAGTTAGCCTTTCACCTATAGGCGCCAGTTCTGATATTTTTATCCGATGAGCAGATGTGTTCACAAATTGAGGAGGTGAATCATTGACATCAAGTAATTTTATAGTAAATGTTGCACTCGATGTGAATGAAGTAGACTGTTCGCCTGCACTAGAATGTTGATGTGATCCGTCTGTTACTATAACAGTTAGTGTATGAACACTTTTAACTTCACGATCCAATGGTCGACTGACTCTTAATAAGCCAGTGTGTGATTCAATACTGAAACTAGAGTCATGGGCTCCAACGAGACTGTAGACTAAACGATTAGTATCAACTAAATTGAAAAGAATGAACAATTGAATAACAGGTAAATTTTATAGTCCATCAGTAAATTATTAAATATTTCACATACTTATTATTTTTAATTTACAGAAGTTATACGAAAAAGAATAAATACATGCCAATAAATACGTTTCTATTGGTCACTCGATGACCTTTATCAACAGCCAATAAAACCATGGACCAATAAGAATCATTTAATAAAATAGACAACAGAGTGAGTAAATTAATTACAAGTGTAAATTCTATCAACTTATAATAATAATAATAAAAATATTTCACAGATAAATTCATGGTTCATAACACCATTGGAGGGATATTTTTTAATCATTACCAACAGAACAAATATTTTACTTTTAGAAAATCACATGTAAATAGTAGACTTAGTAATAAATAAATTAAAAAAAAACTAACAAAATTCACCGACCTTACAAAGTAGCGGTCATAATGCTCCACATATAAATATAGATGTTGAAGACTGCAATAAATCCCACTAAAAAAATTACTCCGAATTCCAAAAAGTTAATTAAGCATAATTTGACCTAAGTTTTATCAATCTACAGAATCTATGAAACAAAACTGAGTTAGTTTCTGTGTTGTTTTTTCATAGACTTCAAATTACATCATATGAGTGAAAATGCTATTTTTTATTACAAGAAATATGAAACTATTTATTCTTTGCCTAAATAATAAAAGTTTCGACCAACTAAATGAAAAATTCAGTTCAAAAGAGCTTTAGAACATTTTATTGTTGTTTTATGACTATTTCCCTTTTGAAAAATGAATTAGTTTGAAAACAGAATCTTTTAAAAATAAAAATTCAATGAATAAAAAAGACAAGCATAAATAGATAATTTGGAAAAATCTAAATTAAGCTGAGAAAAATTGGAAACTAATCAACACAGTGTACAACAAAGTGTTTTTTCCATTTGTGGCCATAGTCCCAAATTATATATATATATATATATATATATATATATATATATATATATGGATGGGGGGGGCATTCGAATTAAATGTTTCCAATTGACATGTAATTTATAGCTGATTGAATCTTATCTTAAGGTATTGGATAATAAACAACAAGTCTAATGTGATATAAGTAACCATCATATTTAATATACTACCATAAATATCTGTGCAGATCAGTATTACTTGTCATCAGTGAAAAGGAAAGATTTCAAGAAATATCTGAACGACAATAATTAAATAAGTATCACGAGAATCAGAATATCATTCTGATATATTGCTGAAAGTGGTCAAAATACAAATATCAGGAGTCGCAGTAAAGTGCTTCAGAATGTGTGCCAAAAGCAAATAGATTCAGGTACTACAATGAAATCTAATGTGATTTAAACTCCCTGATTCCATCAAGCGTATTTGAAATGTAGAAAAAATTCAAGAGAAGAGAGTAAAAAACTAGATTGAAATGAAGAAGTAAAACCTAATACAGAAGAAAAAAATAGTAATATTTGTATCACAGTGACTAACTCTATCACCGATTCGACAACTTCACTATTACAACACAGGCTCCGGAACAAAACTAAAGTTATCAAACAGTAATACAATTATTTGTACAGAGGTTCGTGAAGATTTTTGAGCTAATACTTTTAAATTATGCAGTGACTATAGCTACACAACCATTGAAAACTAGAAAGTCTATAAGAACTGTACATTCTTAATATAGCGCTCTTCAACACAGTAGTAACGTCTATACTATAGATCAAAACCTGAAGCTTTTGAGCTTACGGATGATAGAAATGTGATGTATTCGCGTGGCATACATTCAAGAAGCCGAGAAACGCAAATGAATGTCAAGTGGGTCAAAACTTGATAGGAGAGTTCAGGTAGTGGGTTTAGAAACTAACTAATGAATATAGGATCCAACAGGGTCTAGGCTGTTACAGACTGAACAATCTATATGTTGAGAAAGAGTTTAAGTTTTGAAAGACTGCTACCAAATTCATTTACATGAGCCAAATATATTATTGGACTTTAGTACACCAACTATCAGTAGCATTTACCTAAGAAATAATAGTCTTTGATCCATGAATCTGATTTCGTAGTGTCATTTAGCATGTCTGGGTTTTTTATGTTGTATACTACAGAATAACTATTGTTTGACATCTAAAACGAATGAATGCTATAAAATATTTTAGCTGATCAAGATCCAAACCATGAACGCTCATTACCCAACAAAAGAAGCGCAACTTCTAAACTTGATGTCGCTAACGTTTTATGAATAATATCGACAGCTACGTTGCAAAATACATGCAAACTTTCGAAGTAACAATTACTTAATAGATAACCGTTCAACGTTCTATTACGTTGGTGCTTCTTGTTAAAATTCAGTAAATTATGTAGCCAGTAAGCTTATTTTCTAAATATTAATCATGCTATTATGATGAACTGATTACTTATTTGAAGTGGATAAAATAAGAAGGTCAAGGAAGCAACTAACAGAAGTATAAACAAGTCGACTAACAACAAAATATAAATTGCGTGCATCACTCTTACTATACCAACATAATCGTAATAAAAATATCACTTAAATAGAAAAGAGGAGAAAATCATAGTCTGATGATGTTAACAATTAATATTATTAATAATACCAATATGTTGTCAGATAAAATCAAACTAAAGTCACTGATTAAAGCAACAATATCTAGCAGAGATGTGATAAAAGAAAAAAAGGCGAAAGCAAAAAATTACAGGAAAACTAATCAAACTAATAAAGTTGGTGAGGGGAAAACGAAAACACACTTACAAAAAGGTCATTAAATCCTTGGGGGTAAAATAGTCTAACAAGATGATATCTTAATATTAAACTGTGTATTAAAATGACGTATATATACATAATTAGACTATAAAACATTATGCAATCAAGAATAAATTTATTTTGCAGAGCACAATAATTTGTAAGTAAAAAAAAGATTTTAGAAAGTAATAAATCTAACACGAAATTTAACAAGAAAGTGTGGTTGAAGACCACAGGTGTATAACAAAATCTTTACATACAGAAAATAAAATGTTATATACTGCAAGTAAAACAATCAGTACTAAGGACTAAATATACATGACATTTGTCATTATTCAGTGATAAATTAATATGAATATCCCAGCGATATAGGACGTCAATCATGGCTTAAATAACTCAGTGATAGATAACGTCAAAACTTGTAAAACTAGCTGATATGGACTCGAATTACCAAAGACCATCAGTTCCCTAAACATTGCAGGTATAAACTTCTGATGAATGGTAAATTTCACGTAATTTAGGTCCAGGATTTTCTACTGACAACCACAAGCAACATAGAATATATATACTACTTTTACACATTGATTACCACAACACCTACTGTTGCTACCTTCACTATCACCAAACGTCAATCGAGTTTATTAAACTTGGTACAAACTATCTGACGATTACAAATTACTACGTTCACATATGGAAATGTCAAAATATTTATTTTCTGAGTGTGTAGAAAGAATTTAGTATGTACATAGTGATAATAATAATAATAATAATAATAACAATAATAACAATAATAACAATAATAAGAAATAAGAAATATATCGAGAACTCAATATTGTATTAAAAACAATCAAATGAATAGTACTTTTGACAATGAAATGAAAAAACACACTAACAGGATTCGAATTAGTGGTAGCGAAACTAATAGCAAGGGGGACAGATATCAAATAAAACAAATTGAAGTTTTCATTTTTCTAAAACCACAAATCACAGTAGATAAATGAAGTAGGTGCAAATTTGATTCACATTTAGCTTAAAAAATGGCAATCTACATTGTAGGGGGATCCAAATGATTCGACATTAGTTAGAAATAGAAAATGTAAGATAATAAATTTCCATCGACCTTATATACAAAAACAGATAAGCTGTTAGCTTGATATAATCATTTTTTAATGACATGTTCAGAAGTCATTACTACCGTGACACGTTCAGAATAGTAATTATTAGGGGACTGTATCAACAACCAAAGAAAAGTAATAACTGATATGATATCCTGGAAATCTTCAACCTTATGCTCACAATCGATATTAAATCAGCAAGTCCCACTTCAGCCAGTCGCTTACAACGCAGAATTCGGTAACGCTTGTACATCGATTCGAGTTGTTAGAATGAATTCCAGAGTAGTAGAGTTAGTAACAGTATAAGTATTATCAGAAAAGATTAGGCACCGAAGACACTATTCAAGAAAATATAAGTAGGTGAAATGAAAAAAAATTATGAGGAATTCAGAGGCTCAGATTCTTGGGGAAGAAAAAGGATGAATACGCCTAAGCTACTGCAAACGATTTTGAGCCACGTCATTCAAAGACAATTACACAAACCCCAAAAAGGTAGTCTACATTCGTTAGAATGACTCAGTCCAACTGTCAGTACTGATGCCATGTTCTAGTTCGGACGCCCTTACCTTTCTCCCAACCTACTCTACACCACATAACATCGCCCGTCGATGTAAGCGATTGCTGAGACGTGTTACGCATCCCCAACCGCCTCAGTTAACGAAGACTTATTACCTTATCAATCGATTTTCCATCTTTACTAGTACTCTATCCCAAACATAGACATTATTTAATTTACCCAATGGTCCCAGAATACATGAGCAAGGCTTCTAAGGCACTGACAATCAAATATTAGTAACCTACAAATATCTCCTATTCTTAATAGCTTACTTAAAAGGAATAAATAATGCATATTATCTTTTTAACATTCCTCTATTCACAATAAAGCATGGATATTGAACTAGCTGTCTACCAAAGACTAAATAAAGAGTAAGTGAAAAAAAACTTGTAACAAAGATATGAATGAACGGATGCCATAACAGTCCCATATCTGCAAATCAATTCACACTGATCGTTCATGCATCTACACGAAAACATAGGTGATATTTGTTTTGCAAACAACGGAAAAAATATGAATTAGTGAACAATATATTATGATAAAGCGGCAATGGTTCGTATTCTCGAAATACTGACACATACTATGTAAGTTAACTGATGAGATTATCAAAATAGGGTTTAACTAAATCATTATTGACTAATTATGCTAAAAATA